ACATGTCCTGGGGTTTATGGGTAGAACTTTTCCTGGAGTAAGCATGCAGAAGTGGGTTACCTGTCCCAGGCCTGTGTCAATAAGGACTGGTAAAATCATAATGAAGGATGGGCAATGAGACAAAGTTAATGAGAAAGTTAAGTGCAAAGGAAACCAGGGAGAATTTAAAAGGCTGGAAGTAATCCTAATTCCTGAAATCCAGATCTCCGATGAGAAACAAAAATTGTGTTTGTCCAGCTCTTACTGAGTGTCAAGGAGAACGGCAACACCAGTGTCACACGACAGCAGTGGGGAAACAAGCCACAGTCAAGAGTTTCTGAGGGTCCATTGTACCAGGCTCAAGGCCAGCACGACACCTGGTGGCCCTCAGAATCCCAAGGTTAGGGTACAACCCCAGACACAGCACAGAAACTGCCTGTACCAGACGCTCTGTGCACCAGGCTGATGCCCCGTGGTTGGAGGTGGAAGGAAAAGGACCGATGCTGGTGAGGATGGGGAACCTCCGGACACTTCACACCCTGAATGCTGGCTAAGTAAGAAGAAATGCACAGAGAAGAGGTGGACAAGAGCCCCTGCCAGGCAGCACTGACTTCCCCAGCCTTGGCAGATGGAGCCTGGTCTAGGGCCGGCCTGGGGTTGCCCACAGTCCTATCAAGTGGCCATATGGAGCAGACACCTGAGAGGCTGATGTGCACGTTAAAAATTATCAACAGAGAACACAGGTTGGTGTAGCAAGAAGGTCATCCCCTTGAAGGTACGGAAGCCAAGGCTTAAAAGATACACCACCACAGCAAGCAGCAACCCAGCCCTCCTGCTGGCAGCAAAAAGCACCTTGAGAGGCCCTCAGGGCCAGCTGGTGTCTCACCACCAGATGCTGGAAGTTTCTAGATTTGGAGAGTTTAAAAAGGGTCTTCCAAAAAAAAAGGCAGATAAACTGGAGCTGTCGAGAAATTAAATGGCCTGAGAAGATGTAACCCTGAAAGAACTCACAGAGGCCAAGTCACAACAATGTCCCACTTGTCACCAAAGAGGTGGCCCTGGGGCCCCTCGGTAGAATCAAGTCTGTTATAAAGGGCCACTAACCCCAAGGGCCCATGGGGACTTCAAGGGAAGCAAAAGGAACAGAGCAACATAAGCCAGCCCTTCATTCCGGGAAAATGTGCCATGTCGTGGAAAATCCAAAGCCACCCAAATCCTAGCAGAGCTGGAAATGCTCTGATATGGACCCTAGGGCGCCGCTGAAGGTGATCACAGCACAGCTGGGAGAAAGTCAGCTGAAAAGGAGCCAGTGGGAGGGAGAACTTGGAAATGCCGAAGCAAGAGATGACAGCTAATTGAGCAAAATCCCAGAGGGCAACTAATCAAAAGCACAGCTAATCAAAGCCAGAGGTGGAAACCCCAAAAGGCCACATGAGAGAAGAAAGTGAAGGTGAGAGGGTATAAACAAGTGAGGCAGAGAGACGAGAAAGCTCAGGCCCACAGCCCTCGGCTCGCCCTGGGCAGCAGGAAGGAGAGCCACCTGCTGGGATAAGTGCCCCTGCCCCACAGAGGACCGAAGGGCAGCGCAGGGGTCGGCGTCACAGAGAGAGTCTGAGTCTGACCCGGCCACGGTGGAGACGAAAGTGGCACCGATAAGGATGCAGAAGAGGGTTCCAGGGGGACTCAGGACCAGGCGAGGGTGACACGGCACGACTCTGTGCATCTGAAAGCTTCTCCTCCGCATCGCCGCAGCTAGGAAGGGAGAAGGTGGATGGCCGGTCCAAGGCCAGAGCATCAGGAGATGGTGGTGAGGGTCCAGGTTAGCTGGACGGAGGGGAGGCCGTGGAGGAAAGAGAAGCAGTAAGCAGCAGGAGTCTCGGCGAGGTTCGGGGAGTGATGGGAGGAGGGAGCTGAGCAAGAGAGCATGTGCCTAAGGACCACGACGGGCTCACCACCTCAGAGGCTGGAAACCCACGTGATGATAAACCCAGAGCCCTCTGTATGCTATTGTAATAATGAATGTGTGTCATAATGTATCTGTCCAAATCCACTGAATGGACAACACCAAGAGTAAACTCTTAGGTAAACTATGGTCTTTGGGTGACTATGATGTGCCAAAGTAGGTTCACCCTCGGTAAAAAATGCACCGTTCTGGTGAGTGACGGTGATAACAGGGAAGGCTACGCATGGGGGGCGGGGGGGACAGGGGTATATGGGAAATCTTTGCATCTTCCTCTCAGTTTTGTTGTGAAACTAAAACTGCTCTAAATAATTATTTTTAAAAATCCCCATCTCTGGGTCTGAGGCACCCAAGCTGCTAAAAATGAGCAGCCTTTGATCATGAAGGTGGCAAGGAAAGCAAAATCCCCAAGAAAAAGGCAAACTACAGTCAAGGTGTGGAGAGGCCAAAAAGAAAAGGAAGTTTGCTTGTAGTACAAGAAGGGTCCTAGTTCTGGAGGACTCAGGCTGGACGTTAGCAGTGATGGAGAAAGTGGGTATACAGTGTGCATATCAGAAGGCGGCCACAGAGAACGGAGCAGCAAGACCTGCCTCAGGCCACTTTGCACAGGGATCCCAAGAGGGGTCTGAGGCTGACAGCCCGCACACGGCTGTGCTTGGGGGTCAGATGGAAGACTGTCAAGTAAGCAAGTAGATGTCTCTGCAGGTGGATTGGGAAGAAGACCAGAATTTTAAGAACCACCAAACCAAGAGTTTACCACTCAGCCCCCAAACCCAGGGTGGCACGAACCACACAGAGAGAGCACCAGGAGAAGCCCTCTGCTCAGGCTCGAGGAGTAGCAGCGGGATCTCGCAGCAGTGACCGTGCTGGCAGTGGGAGTCCTCGGGTAACTCAAACTCTGTGGAAAGGAAATGTGATCCTCTGAACTCCTGCTTCTTGCCCTGACTGGGCCTAGCTGCAGAAACATGACCTCAGGGCATATAAAACCTCAGCATTGGGCTTCCCTGGTGGTGCAGTGGTTGAGAGTCCGCCTGCCGATGCAGGGGACACGGGTTCGTGCCCTGGTCCGGGAAGATCCCACATGCCGTGGAGCGGCTGGGCCTGTGAGCCATGGCCGCTGAGCCTGCGCGTCCGGAGCCTGTGCTCACAACGGGAGAGGCCACAACAGTGAGAGGCCCACGTACCGCCAAAAAAAAAAAAAAAAAAAAAGGCTCAGGAAAGTGACCCCACAAGGTCGTCTATAGACTCCTGGCCTCACCCCAAGCTATGCACGTGCAGATCTGATCATAAACAGCATATCTAAGACTCTGAGAACAAAAATATCAACTATCATCCAGGTCCCAAACAGGGACATACATGAGGGGCAGAGCATCAGGAGACGATGGTGAGGGATCAGCCTCACAGCAACAGCACTGCAAAAGCTTCTTAAAAATGGAACTGAAAGGAGTTTCCTGGTGGCCTAGTGGTTAGGATTCAGCACGTTCACTGCCGTGGCCGGGGTTCAATCCCTGGTCAGGGAACTGAGATCCCAAAAGCTGTGCAAGATGGCCAAAAAAAAAAAAAAAAAAAAAAAAAAATGGAACTGACATGGAAGCCACAAACAGAGAAGGCTGGTCAGAACTTGTGACCTGAACCCAACCAGGCTGACCGCTGCTGAAACAAAACATCAACACCTCCCATAAGATTTAAGCAAGACCCAGGGTCTCAAAACATAATATTCAAATGTCCACAATACAATCCAAAAATTACTCAGCCTACAAAGAAACAGGAAAAATCCCAACTCACGTGGGACAAGACCACCAAGAGATTCCAAGGCCAAGATGACACAGATATGAGAAGTATCTTACAAAGACTTAGAGAAGCTATTTAATGAAGTGCTCAAGAAGTAAAAGCAAACACTTGAAATAAATGGTGTGGTAGCGGAATCCTAAAATGGGTCAAGGTTTCCAGCCCTAATCCCCGAGACCAACATACAACACCCTGGTCACATTAAGTTGCCTGGTCAAGGCAGTGAGACTCTGCAGATACAATTAAGGTTACTAATCAGCTGACTCTGAGTTAATCAAAAGGGAGCTTATCCAGTTATGCCAAATATAAACCCATGACCCCATCAAAAACTGAGCTGGGCTTCCCTGGTGGCGCAGTGGTTGAGAGTCCGCCTGCCGATGCAGGGGACATGAGTTCGTGCCCCAGTCTGGGAAGACCCCACATGCTGCGGAGCGGCTGGGCCCATGAGCCATGGCCGCTGAGCCTGCGTGTCTGGAGCCTGTGCTCCGCTACGGGAGAGGCCACAGCAGTGAGAGGCCCGCGTACCGTAAAAAAAAAAAAAAAAAAAACAGTGAGTTTTCTCTGGCGGGTAAAAGAGGAGGAAATCCAAGAGGTTCTGAAGTGTAAGAAAGGTTCGGCAAGCTGTTGTGACTTGAAGATGGGGTGAGGTTACGTGATAAGGAATTCAGTCAGCCCTGGAAGCTAAACGTGGCCCCGCCTGACAGCCAGCAACGAAACAGGGACCAGAGTCCTATCAACGCAGGGAATTGGATTCTTCCAGCAACCTGGATGTACGTGGAAGAGATTCTTGTGCAGAGCCTCTGGAAAGGAGCCCTGCCTGGACAACCCTTGATTTGGGCCACTTGAGACCCTGTAGGTAACCCAACCAAGCCCACTCAGACCTCTGACCTACAGACCTTGAAGTAGGTGTTGTTTCAGCCAATAAGTTTGTGGTAATTTTTTAAGCACCAGTGGAAAATAAGTCCGGATTCTGGCTCCTGGAAGTGGGGTGCTGTCAAAACCATCACCTATTCTAAGTTCACGCTGAAGTTCACCCATGATAGCATTTGGGACTCAGTGATTGCCCTAAGGTGGGAACATTCCTTTTGTTTATATTATTTTCCTAAAATAGTATTGAATAGAGAGTGTATCCCTTAATTCTCTGGGAAATTTGTTTCTTCTATTTTTTAGAACTACAGCCAAATTAAGTGCATTTGCTTGAAAAAGGGGCCCAATCAGCAAATTCTAACTACTATGTAAATAAACATGAACTTTTAAATATCATCCACCGTACACTTTGAGTTTGGTGCACTGTCCCGGCTTCAAGTCTCCCAGAAGCTGCAGTATGGTGTCCAAGAGCACCCGACTTGAGTTAACCAGGAATTCACGACCACTTGCTATGGCAGCTACATCTGCAACATAAAGATGAAACGAAGAGTCAAAAGTCTGTCCAGGATAGAGGACGTGCTGCTGTCTGTCTCCTAGCAGACTTAATGAACACACAGAATAGTTACCCACAGAGCTGACAGCCCAGATAGGGTAACTGACAACTACAGCAGTTACTAAAACGGTGAGTGACGTCCGTTGTGATTAGCAAATGCCTCAGTAGTGGAACAGAGCACTGGGTCTAAATATGTCTGCAGCCTGACCACAGCACAGCAAGTGGACACCAGGCTTCAGAATACTGGATTAAACAGCTATGGGCAGTCAGGGTCCAAACAGAAGGTAGGGGCTGATTACTTTATCTGGGACCAAGGACACTAAAATCCACTTTCAACCCTGGGAGTGAAATCCTAATGACTCTAAACCAGAACACCAAACTGAAATCATGAGGTCAAGAGAGAATACAAAAACTGATTCCAAAAAGAAATTTTTCTAAATTGTACATCCTGCTGTGGGTCAGCAAGTATCACGTTTCTTCACGCTTGAGGCCCTGCAGAACCAGCATGGGGACCAGACCAATTCACTACACGGGCTCCCATGGACACCGCGGCAGATAACACTGGCTCCATCACATTCCCAAATACCTGTGAGGACACGTCAGTGATCCAGAATATTTATGTATGTGTCGGTAAGATTTTTCTTTAGCTAGGTCTAACAATAAAGCATGATTCAAAGTGACTAAAATTTCTAACCCAAATGAGCCGGCCAGGGTGGAGACAAGAAGGGCAGCAGCATCCTCGTCCTCCTGACGTCAGTGGAGATGCTTCTAGTAATTCACAAGCAAGTGTGGTGTCTACCAGATGACCCCAGCAGGGATCCTCTACCAGTGTAAGGAAGTGTTCTTCTATTTGTAGTTTGCTAACAACTATCGAGAATGGAAGATGAATTTTATCACTGATTTGCTCTGCTTTGATTAACGGTAACCTAATGGCAGAATATAAAATTTCATCTATGCTACCAGAACAACTTTATGGAATCAGATCCTGGACGTTCCTATTTATTTTTGTTTATCTGAGCTGAGGAGGATCAAAAGAGATATATGAAAGTTTCCTAAACCTAACCGATTTTTCCCCATTTCTGCTTGTCCTTCCAGCACTTTTTGCCTCTTCCCTTGCATTGCTGCTATCTGGTATATAATTTCATGACAGCTATAACTTTACTGAAGACAGGACCCTTAACTGATAAAAATGTAACCTTCTGTGTTCAATGAATTTGAACCTGATGACTCTATTTTCTACCATATGAAACACTCTAGTTTTACTAAAGAAATACTTGGGGGGATTGAAGCATTTGGCATCATAAACTCAAAGTCATTTTAAGGTAGTTTTTTGGGGAAGACATTCTTCATGTTCTGACTACATATGGGAACCCCCCAGGAAAACATACATTCTAGCTACATACTTTAGTAGTTTCCAGAGACGATATCCCAGCAAACCACGGCTCTGGTCTGCAGACCTTGGGTTGTTCCTGCCCTAAGACTCCAGTGTGACCAGCAGAATGCAGCACAGCTGCTGCATGACTTTCAAGGCAAGACAGAAAGAGCCTGGCAGCTTCCACCTCCGTCTCTCGCCACTTGCTCTAAGAGCCCTGGGTCGCTAGGAAAGAAATCTGACTCTCCTGAGGCTGCCGTGATGCAGACTACAGAAAAAGCACACAGTTGGAGAAGCCTGGGACTACACTAGGATAGGAAGATGTCCCACTAGCCCCCAGCTGTTCCATCCCTCAGCAATTTGAGTCACCCCAGCTGAGGCCCCAGACAGCAGAGTAGCAGCAAATCCCCCCTGCCAAGCCCTGAGAAAGTTGCAGGTTCCCGAGCAAAACAAATGACTACCGTTGTTTAAAGACAAAGTTTGGGGGCAGTTTGTTACCCAGCAACAGATAACAGGAACATCACTAATATATCACTGAAGAAAAATAGTACACTGTATCAGAGCAGGCGACGACACCCAACAAAACAGAACAAATTTACTGGTAAATGAAGTCCCCTGTCATGTATCCAGTATTATAATAGCAAATGCCAATGTTGCATTCCAAGCAAACTATGAAGTAAAATAAACGGGAATAAATTCCTGCTCATATAGCTCCAGTATTTGTCAGTCTGTCTGGGATGCTTATGAGTCAACCATAGGACTACAAAGGATTGCTGGTTTAATTTTCTGTTAAAATGTACTTTTTTTTCCCTAGGTTCATTTTTCTTTAAAGTTTATAAATATTTCTAGAGGTTACCATAGTAATTATATAATTTAAGAAATGAAACTAGTGTGAATTATGTATGCTGATAAAAAATATAAAGAGTTGAGGCATATTATGTCTGATATTTTTGCTTTAGGTTGTAACAATTCTGTCCTATTTTCAACAATAGAAATAACAATAAAGTACTGGCATAATGACAGTCATACAGATCAATGGTAGAATTGAGAGACCAGAAATAAACACTCAAATTTATGATCAACTGATTTTCAAGAAGGGGATCAGGACAATTGAATGGAGAAAGGATAAAAGAATAATCTTTTTAACAAATGGTGCTGGGACAACTGAATATTCACATGCAAAGAAATAAAAACTGGACCCCTACCTCACACCATACATAAAAATTAACTCAAAATAGATCAAACCCCTAAATGTATGAGCTAAAATTATAAAACTCTTAGAAGAAAACACAGGAGTAAATCTTCATGTCCTTGAATTAGACAATGGTTTCTTAGATATAACAACAAAAACACAAGCAACTAAAGAAAAAACACACTGGATATCATCAAAAATTAAAACTTTTTTGCTTCAAAAGACACTATCAAGAAAGTGAAAAGACAACTACAGAATGAGAAAAGTTTTGCAAATCATATGCCTGATAAGAGACTGGTATCTAGAATATACAAAGAACTCTTATAACTCAATAATAAAAAGACAAATGACAATTTTTTTTAACATCTTTATGGAAGTATAATTGCTTTACAATGGTGTGTTAGTTTCTGCTGTATAACAAAGTGAATCAGTTATACATATACATATGTCCCCATATCTCTTCCCTCTTGCGTCTCCCGCCCTCCCACCCTCCCTATCCCACCCCTCTAGGTGGTCACAGAGCACTGAGCTGATCTCCCTGTGCTATGCGGCTGCTTCCCACTAGATATCTACCTTACGTTTGGAAGTGTGTATATGTCCATGCCTCTCTCTCGCTTTGTCACAGCTTACTCTTCCCCCTCCCCATGTCTTCAAGTCCATGCTCTAGTAGGTCTGTGTCTTTACTCCCATCTTGCCCCTAGGTTCTTCATGACCTTTTTTTTTTTCTTAGATTCCATATATATGTGTTAGCATATGGTATTTGTTTTTCTCTTTCTGACTTAGTTCACTCTGTATGACAGACTCTAGGTCCATCCACCTCTCTACAAATAAGTCAAATTCGTTTCTTTTTATGGTTGAGTAATATTCCATTGTATATATGTGCCACATCTTCTTTATCCATTCATCTGTCGATGGACACTTAGGTTGCTTCCATGTCCTGGCTATTGTAAATAGAGCTGCAATGAACACTTTGGTACATGACTCTTTTTGAATTATGGTTTTCTCAGGGTATATACCCAGTAGTGGGATTGCTGGGTCGTATGGTAGTTCTATTTGTAGTTTTTTAAGGAACCTCCATACTGTTCTCCATAGTGGCTGTATCAGACATTTTTTTTTCTTTTTATTTGGTTGCACTGGGTCTTATTTGCAGCTTGTGGGCTCCTTAGTTGCAGCTCACCAGCTCCTTAGTTGCAGCACGCAGGCTCCTTAGTTGTGGCATGCGAACTCTTAGTTGCAGCATGCATGTGGGATCTAGTTCCCTGACCAGGAATTGAACTCAGGCCCCCTGCATTGGGAGCAGGGAGTCTTACCCACTGCACCACCAGGGAAGTCCCTCAAATGACTTAATTTTGGAATGGGCAAAGGACTTGAATAGACATTTCTCCAAAGAAGATACTCAAATGGCCAATGAATACATGAAAAGATGCTCAATGTCGTTAGCCACCAGGGATATGCAGATCAAAACCATGACAAAGTACTAGTTCATACCCACTAGGGATGGCTATAAGCAAAACTAACTTTAAAGTGTTGGCAAGTATGTGGAGAAAGCTCATGCACTGCTGGTGAGAATGTAAAATGGTGCAGCCACTGTCAAAAAATGGTCTGACAGTTCCTCAAACGCTAAAAGCCATATCATATGACCCAGCAATTCCACTCCTAGCTGTATATCCAAGAGAAATGAAAACATATATCTACACAAAAACTTTTACACAAATTTTCACAGCATCATTATTTATAATAAGCAGAAAGTCGAAACAGCCCGAATGTCTATCGATTGACGAATGGATAAGTGTGGTGTAGCCAAACGATGGAGCATTATTCGGCCACAGACAGGAATGAAGTGCTGGTGCATGCCATGGCGTGGACACCGTGAGAACACTATGCTACACGAGAGAAGCCAGTCACAGAGGACCCCACGTTACATGGTCCCATTATATGAAATGTCCAGCACAGGCAAATCTATAGAGACAAAAAGTAGACTGGCTGCCTAAAGCTAGAAGAATGGCAGGATTGGGGAATGATGGCTGAGGTTAGCAGAGCTTCTCTTTGGGTGATGAAAATGTTTAAAAATTGACTGTGGAGATGGATGCACAATTATATGAATGTACTAAAGCCATCAAATTACGTACTTTAAGTTGGCAAATTGTACGGTATATATTTACCTCAATAAAGCTGTTAAAAAGTAAATATAGTAATAGTAACAGTGGGGATATGACTGTCATGTTCAGTGGATTACTCAGTCTCTACTGCTCATCCTGGACGTGTTCTCTATAAACTGCTCTTCTGAAGCACTAACACTACATCACATTTTTTGAAAGAAACATATGAAAGTTTCCTCTATGAATACTGTGACTCTGATTTACTGTTTGGTTTTTGTTTCTTTGCATTTGCTGTGGTACTTTCTTAT